ATGTGTAATCTGTGGGTTCGCATGTCGGGAAGCAATGAATCATCAACTTGACAGATTAGCAGTTACTGAAATGGTTCCAGTTAAATGATGTTTTGTGGTTAGTGTTGAGCTGTTGATACATTCTTTTTAGAAAGGTTGGTGTTGATACCTAGGTGCAACAAATCCTCACTGTATTTGGATGTTGGGAGTGGGTTATAGATGCGACGGTATGTATCCGTGGGTTCGTATGTCGGGAATCAATGAATCATCATCCACTTGAGAGATTAGCAGTTACTGAAATGGTCCTAGTTATATGATGTTTTGTGGTCAGTGTTGAGCTGCTGATACATTTTTTTTAGACAGGTTAGTTTCGATACATAGGTGCAATAAATCCTCAAACTGTATTTTTTAGAGCAGTATAATTCAGGAATAATGGTATTTATAAATTTATAAATGGTTCAAACACTATCAGGAAATATGGATTTCATTGCTAATGTTTCTGGGAAATTTTCGCTGTTGTTAGGATAACTTTCCTGTTGCAACTTGCAAGCCCTATTGTCGATAGCTTTTCAGTTTTCTGTGATGCAATGTGGGTGGGCCAGATGGCCTTCTGCACTTCAGACCATAGTCATGTATATCTAAGGATACATAATTTTCCCTGTCTGATACTGTGTGGCTATCCTCTTCCTCTAGTTTCCATGCTGGCAAAACCTCTATGGTTAATGGTTCTAAGAGTTTCATTCTTTGTTTCTATCTTTGAGTACAAAATGTCAAGCATCTGAATTGTTAACTGATCAACACTGGTGCACCATACCCCATGCCTACAGTTAGGGCAAATAAATGCTTCCATGCAGCCTAGTATAAGGTGTAGTAGACTTCGGTTTACGATAATGCTACCTGGATTATTGGGTATCAGGGTTGTGAATTTTGATAATAACAAGTTAGAACTTAGAGCGAAATCTGTTGCATAGATTATACATTCTATTCCTTCAAAGCAATTGCATCACATTTCTTCTAGTTTTAGTTTTTTTGTTTGCTTATGTTGCCTGGAGTGTGGCTCAGCGTCTTTTCTGTAAAGCACGTGTGGTTACAGAAGAGGGCATGGGGGTAAATGCTGTCTTTGGATGGCTTAGAATCACATCTAGCATTTCATATGAAAATTTGAATTGTATTTCATATTGGAATGATATCCTTACCCATTTAGAAGATAGCATCCCTTCACCAAACTACTCAATTCATGTCCTAACTAAAGTTTTTGCTCTCTTTCAAATTTGCTGTAATAGCAATGTGATCCTGTTCTCTTGTAGGCCTATGTTACAGTTTGCTCTTATCTTCGTAGGAACCATTATTTCTGCTGGAACCATTTTGTTGTTTGATAGATATTTTGTCTTCCTCATACAATTAGAAGAAACTACACGCTTTTAGACATTTTTTCATGATTGTAGAATATATTTTGAGGGGTCGTGCTAATGCCATTGTTTCTGCTTTGTGCAGCTCGAGTGGACCATCGCAAACAGGTTAGTAAAATATTCTCCTGCCTTGTTTCTTTCTTCTGTGTGAAAAAAATGTGTGATTATAGTGGCAGCCTTCTGTGATGTTAGATATCTGACTGGAGTAGGCGACCCAACTTTGAATTGCAGAATATCTCCTCGAGTCGGAAGGGTGGGTAACTGAGTATTAATACCATATATTTCTTATACGTGACTACATCACACTCATTTGACTTGGGAACTTTAATTGTTAATGTAGATGGCCCCTTGTAAACTGCAGCATATATATGTAGGGATGATTTAAACTGCGCTTGTTTCATTCCCAAAGTGCTTAACATTCTGCTTATGTCATTTTTCCGTGGCTTACAGCTGTTCTAAAATGTAATCTTGTTTCACCTTATCTTGACCATTTTGATATTTCCTAACTGTAGAAATTAAGAGGGAGAATTGGTGTAAGGAAGAAAATGGAAGTAATGCAGCAGGATGATGAAGCGTTAGTTAAACTTGAGAACGCAGGTATCGAACGCTCAAAAGCTGTTGATTCTGCTGTGCTGGGAAAATACAGCATCTGGAGACGTGAAAATGAAAATGAGAAGGCAGATTCAAGGGTTCGTCTGATGCGAGATCAAATGATCATGGCCAGAATATATTCTGTTCTTGCCAAATCGAGGGACAAGCTTGATCTCTATCAGGAGCTGCTTGCAAGGCTCAAGGAAAGCCAGCGCTCCCTTGGGGAAGCTACTGCTGATGCCGAACTTCCCAAGAGGTGGTGCCTACTCGAACTATTTTTGGGCCTAATTTTCAGTGATACTGTTTTCTCTTTCTCTGTTGATTCATCTCTTCCCTAATTTGCAGTGCTTCGGATAGAATCAAAGCAATGGGCCAAGTTTTATCAAAATCAAGGGATCTATTGTACGATTGCAAGGAAATTACCGAGCGTTTGAGAGCAATGCTTCAGTCAGCAGATGAGCAGGTCCGGAGCTTGAAGAAGCAGAGCACCTTCCTTAGCCAGCTGGCAGCTAAGACAATCCCAAATGGCATCCATTGTCTTTCCATGCACTTAACAATTGATTATTACCTTCTGTCTCCAGAGAAAAGAAAGTTCCCCAATAGTGAGAACTTGGAAAATCCTGATCTTTACCATTATGCTCTTTTCTCGGACAATGTTTTGGCAGCATCAGTTGTGGTCAACTCAACCATCATGAATGCGAAGGTTAGTGTAATACCATCTTCAAGCTGGAAGTGTAATCTCTTCATTGTGTGTACCATTGAATGACCAATTATATAGCACTCTTGATTTTCTTGCTATAAATTTGCAGGAGCCTGAAAAACATGTATTTCATCTTGTTACTGACAAACTGAACTTTGGGGCCATGAACATGTGGTTTTTGCTGAATCCACCTGGGGATGCAACAATCCATGTGGAAAATGTTGATGACTTCAAATGGTTAAACTCTTCTTACTGCCCTGTTCTGAGGCAGCTTGAGTCTGCAGCCATGAGAGAATACTATTTCAAGGCCGGTCCGAAAACACTCTCTGCTGGCTCTTCTAATCTGAAGTATCGAAACCCAAAATATTTGTCCATGCTCAACCATCTAAGATTTTACCTCCCCCAAGTTTATCCCAAGCTGAATAAAATTCTTTTCCTGGATGATGACATAGTTGTCCAGAGGGATCTAACTGGACTCTGGGAGGTTGACCTTAATGGAAATGTAAATGGAGCGGTGGAAACATGTAGAGAGAGTTTTCATCGATTTGACAAGTACCTCAATTTCTCAAACCCAAATATTTCTCAGAATTTTGATCCTAATGCATGTGGTTGGGCTTATGGAATGAACATGTTTGATCTGGAAGAATGGAAGAAGAAAGACATTACTGGGATTTACCACAAATGGCAGAACATGGTGAGTTGGAAATAAGATTTTACATTAGTTGCATCCTGACATCTGCTTTTCTTTAGAATATTGCATTTTGTGTTCCTACACAACCATCTGATATGTATTATGGTGCTTCAGACTTTTCAGATATTGTGATTTTGTTCATTTTTATGCATATATGACTATACCGTGTACAATATAGATGAACAAATGCTAAATAATTATTTTTAGCATGATTCATTGGAGTCCTTAATTAATTTTCATAATACCAATTTTCAGTTATCACAACTCTTAATTAGTTAATTAACTGATGTTTGATCATTACAAAGAGTTAAGAGCTAGTCAAATGCACTGTCTGAGATGTACACATCAGCGCATACATTTGCTGAACTCCATTTTCACACTGTTTTATGTTCTCTTTGTACAGAACGAGAACAGGCTGCTCTGGAAATTGGGGACATTGCCGCCAGGGCTTCTAACTTTCTACAAGCTGACACACCCTCTGGACAAATCATGGCATGTGCTTGGCTTAGGGTACAATCCAACCATTGAGCGATCAGAAATAGACAATGCTGCGGTCATCCACTACAATGGTAACATGAAGCCGTGGCTGGAAATCGCAATGACAAAGTATCGGCCTTACTGGACAAAGTACATCAATTATGAGCATCCGTACATTCATGGATGCAAGATCAGCCAATAGAAACCACCTAAAATATTCGTCTGTGATGAACATTGAAGTTAGACGGGACTCAAAATGAAGTCCTCTGTTAGTAGTATAACTATCACATGTTCTTTATTCGTGCTATATTTAGATTTGTTAGCTATCATGTGTATGTAGTTTCATAACCCATTTGTGGTGCTCTCCCCTAGCCCGTTGTTGGTTCTTGTCTATTTTTGTCATGAAAAGAACGATGAGCTCTATGATTCTCATCGGCTGATAAATGAATGAATTTCTGTTGGTGACAAATTAATGATGTCACTCAAACTGTATTAAGTGTTCCATTGAACATTCATGGCAGCATTTAATGGCCAGTTGAAAGTTACGCTAGAATTATAACGAATTTTAGGGCTTGTTTGAACTGCTTTGCTTGCTCTTTTTTTTTAGCTCCGCTTCCGAAAACACTTAAATGGGTACTCTAAAACTCTTAAGTTTTACTTTTTTAAGGAGCTGATCCACGATAGAGTTAATAAAAAACAGACCTATGGCAATCCGTACACTCATGGTTGAGATTTTTTTTTTTTGGAGGGACATGGTTGAGATTGTTGACGTGAGATGATCCAATGGGTGCGGCTGGGTTCTTATATCAGCTCTAATTACTTTGGATTTATGGGTCAGGCCACGGGTAAAAAATTATTACGGACTGAACTCGACCTATCTGGTGGATCAGGTTGGATTGAGTTTTTTCCTGACAGAATCGGGTCCGGTTGGTTGGGCGGCCTACGAACAAGTCTAGCCCATAGCATCCAAACAGGCAACCTCAGGCCCGCAGCCGCAGCCGCAGCCCCCGACGCCTCCTCCGCGGCTCCGCCTCCGCCGAGCGCCCCTCAGCCGCCTTCCTCTTCCTCCAATTCCTCCGCCGATCCCCTCCGCTGAATCGAATAGAAGAACCGATCGCCGCTGCCGGCGAGGGGGCTCGGCGCACAGCGCGGGATGGCGAGCGGCAGCAGCAACGGGGAGCCAAGCACGGCGCCGCAGGCGAACCGGTGGTACGACCTCCGGCTGGGCTCCTCCTGCCGTGACCCCTCCCCCACCGCCAAGTTCTGCACCCTCCGCTGTAAGCCCTTCGTCCCCTTTCTTCCACTCCTTTTTTTCGGTACCCAACCTGCGGCGCTGTAGCCCGGGATCCGCTTCAGCGAATTGACGAGCGCTAGTTAGCACCACAGGAGGTAGGGTTCTTTGACACTGATGGCTCAGGATTCCTGGCGTTTAATTATTTTGCACCATGGGAAAACCTGATTTCATTACTCCACACTCCACAGCGACGAAATTACACGAAATATCTGACTGATTTGACCAACAGCTACTGAAAGATACTAAAAGTGCAGCTCACAAGTCTAAAACTGAAGTACTGAGCGGAGAAAGTTCATGCAAAAAAAAACAGTTTGACATAAAAAATGCAATAATGGTCTACTTCTACAATATCTGCCAATAGTACATGCAGTGCACAATAAATCTAAAAATGGTTGAATTTTTTGAAGACCTATTTTAATTTTTACTAGTGTTATCAGATGATCATAATTTGGAGATACATCATATGCCTCTTTATCAACTAAAAAACAAAGATACATTCAGCAAAACAAAACCAATCAACAGCTGGTACCTCGGAACAGGTGCTAAAGCTCTGAAGGATGCGGCGCTACACTTCCATCAACCGGAGCATGTAGAGGGAAGACAGGAAACACATGGAGTCATCTTGAACTAGGATGGAGCTTATGTTTTGTGCCGATCATCTTTGAGGGCAGCCTGCGTGTTGTGATCTGTCCGCTGAAATTGTACTTGTCCATCAGAAGTTTCGCCATTCATACGCTGTGTGCCTTTTGCTTGGGGTGTTATGTAGGAGTTCCCTGTATTGGTTGGATGTTGGCAGTTTGGATTGTCACACATGTTAAGCCCTTGGTGCTTAAATGTACTTTGGAGAACAATATAAGCGTTGAACGTTGGGCTCTACAGCTACAGTGACTGAAAAGGGCCATCTATTTTTAGTGCAATTCGGCCTCCTTTGAATAATGGTCCTTATTTTTTGTGCAAGCTTTGCTGTTGATGGGATATTGTGTTCCTCTCCAATCTTCTCATGTTCTTCATTGTGTTCATGTTCCTCATAACTGTCTTAACTTGTTGATCTCTGAGTTACTCTTACCTTGTTTGCCTTTTGCTGCTATTTCTACAGTTGCTTGTATTTCATCATTAGTTTCACCCAACATTACATTACATTCTATAGCGACATTAGCTAAAACAACAATATTATCTAAAGACTAGTACTATGAAAGGATTGGTAGAAGTACCTTCTTGGTTCAGTACAGCCCATCTGTTCTCAGCTCTTAGAGGAACATGAGTCCCATTCCCTGGAGACCTTGTACTTGCTCTAGACATCACCGGAGGTGGGGCATCTCTTCAGCGTGCTTGTTTTAGTCTTCTTAATCATCTCATTTTTCTTACGGACATTATCAAATTCAAGAGAAAAATCCACTTGCCTTTCTGCACCATCTCCATCATCGCATACAAGTATTTCCTCAAAATCTGGCATCTTCACCCCAGAACTCAAAGGACTCCAGCCCCTTTCAGTCTCTAGTAAAGCTGTCATCCCCTTCATGGTCTCCTCTGCAGTAAGTTGGTTTCTTGCCTGGTTTGAAACCTCAAGGTTGCTTGATCATATTCTCTTTGTCATGTTTATCAGTGTGGCAACTGTTGTTTAATGCCTGCGTGGCATTATTAGCCACTTGATCTTCTCTCTGGTCATTAATTAGATGTTAAGAAAAATATGGCTACCTTTGTTATTTATTGTCATGGATGGTATGCTGAGATCTCTACTGCAAAGGTTATTATTGGCATATTACTAGGGATCAACCAAAGCTAGTTTTCTGATATCATCTAGCAGCCTTCCTTTGTATTATTGTGATCTGACAAAAGGTCATGCCATTTCTTTATGTTGTAAATAAAAAATCAGGGTCGGCAATAAATAGTTTTTATTACCTTTGATGTTGCAGATGAATTTAAGCCAGCATCAATTGACAAGACTCAAGCTGGGTCTCTGCAGAGTACCAAAGATAACCGGGTTACTGTGGAATTCCATAATAATCAGCCTGGCAAGCCAAAGGTAACATTTGAGGGGAGCCAAGAAGAGTACAAGGATAATGATGGTGTCTTATTTTTTGATGGTGAGACCTTTCGCCTTGAGAGGTTGCATAGGGCTGTCAAGAGGTTAAGGCATGTCCGAGTTCCAGGAGAGTCTGCAGCAGTTAATTTGGCAGCTACAACTACTGGAATGGGTGCAGAATCACAGTCTCCTCCATTACCTAAAGTCAGCAAGTCACAGACCGTGAGCAAACCTGCTGTTCACTCAGTTCCAGTGAGTTCTGTTACTACTTTTATTATGCCTTAGATAATGGTTTGTCATTGCTCTTTCTTTTGTTAGGTTTTCACTTTTAAATTGAGTAACATGATGACACCTGCGATATAGTATTAAGTAATAAAGTTTGAAGATTTCTAACAGGTTCCATTTCTAAAAATACATGATATCTTTCTCCAGATATTTTGTGTTCATTGATTTATCATCTGATGTACTTTGAAGTCATCAACAATCTTCCTTGATACTTGATAGTATCTTAACCTAGACAGATTATGGGAAATTTAGGATGTTATAAAATATATTCTACCCTATTACTTCTCTTTAGAAAGGTGAAATGTTTTACTAGGAAATGTGATCCACAAGTTATATGTTTTCCTACCTTCAAATCTAGCTAGTTCGAAAGTTTATTTGAATTAAATAAGCTGCAGTCATACCCTGTTGTTTCATAAGATTAGTGTTATATTGGTGGTATACAAAGTAATTAATATCTGATTTAATTTTAGTGGTGTACAAAAACATTGGTCTTCAAACTTATAAAGTTATAATTGAAACTTCAACTGGATATGCTTAGCTTCGTTAGAAGTCGGGTGTGAGAAGGGAACTCACTCTCGCGCGTGTAGGAATGTTACACTGGGATAACTAATTACTTAAAACATGCAAGGGTGTCAACTTGACTTAACTTCTCAATGTGACTAAAGACCCAACTTAATTTGAATTACTTCACATGATGATCAACTTGGACAACTTCACTCAAGCGAGGGGTAAGGTCACTGTGAGTGTGGGATCTCAAGTGACGTAGCTCGCGGACAACAGATTTGTAATTTAGAAGCAAAACATTGGATAGCAAGTATTCTTAGCACTGATTACCTATGAAGGTTTCTTTGGCAGAATATGGTAGTTGGCTTTACCTTCTTAAGGTGTGGATGTTAGCAACTTGTTAATAAATGACAGTGTTGAGCTACTCTTTTTTTTTTTGTGGAAACCTTATTTCTGGTCGGCATGTGAAACTTAATTTGCTACTTGCGAAAACCTCTCATTGTGATCATTTTTAGGGCCATTACGTACGCACTTGGTCACTGAATGTGAAATCTTTGTTAGAGTGTTACTGAATCATTTTTCAATTGAATAATGGCCCATAACATTATGTTTCTTTCAAACTGTGGTCATGACTCTGAGGGCTGAACCATGGCAGCTGATACTGCTGAGTATGCAGCTCTAACTTTTAGCATCAAAAGGGAATGTGGCCTTGTGTTGGGATTTAGAAGATGGAATTGAGACGGAAACAAATTCTCCAATGCAAATCTTATATACATTGTTTCAATCAAGCTACCAAGCTATTTAAATTTTTGAGCGTCTGCTTTTGTTTAATATAAAAGCTTATTATATCATTTCTAATTTGCTTCGTCATGTATGGGATGAAACTGTATGTTGAGTCAAATTTGTTAATATATGAATATTTTGATATACTCACTTTAGCGCTATACAGAACTTTTCCACCATCATGATGTGATCTTATATAGTTTCGAACTCTCAATTCAAATTATGATGTTTCAGTAAATCATACTTCTGATTCTGACTTTGCAGGTTGAGGTTGAGCGTATTGACATTGGTGAACCAGAAAAACCAGAAAATCCAGGTAGGCTCCGTGTGAAATTAATCCTATACCAGGATAGAGATTGTGGCCACACCTATCCTACAGTTTTAGAATGAGTTGGATTAACTGTTTCACTGGATGTGTAATACCGTGGCATGCGTAGATAAGGAACATGGTAGTTTGGCTAGGGATGGATTTCCATACATTAATACATGTCGCCTGGACACCCTGATATTGATACGTGATACGCAATACTCCAATACGCCATGTATAGGAGTATCACTCACATTATAAAATGGGGGAAGAGAAGTCATTATCACATGGCCATGGAGCCATGCCACTTGCAAGTGCTTGGGAAGCAGCATGGGGGCTCACTTTGTCTACTGTCCCCTTTCCTCAAAGTTCGGTATAGAAGAGAGATAAGGAGGGAGCAAGTGGAAGTGACCTAGAGGGGAGGTCTTGACTAATAGAATAAGGTTCAATGGGTGATAGTTCTAGGGTGTCGAAAAAGTATTAAAGAGGTGTCAACCATGCATTGAGATTATTTTACTTGTTCGAAAATTATGAGAATAATAAGTATCGTAGGAGTATTGGTGTTTGATAGGTATCGAAAGAGTATCAACATCTGATAGATGAACGAGTCTGTAAGTTTTTCTGTCTTGGATGTGTGTTGGGTGGGTTAGGGAGGGCCCTCTCTTGTACTATTTTTCTTTATTAATGAAATGACACACAACTCTCCTGCATTGTGATAGGCACACACTAGTGGCAAGGAAACCGGACATGTATTGATATCAATTAGTTTCCGTAATATTGATGGGTTGATTAGTTTTTTTAATTATTATTTTCCCATTTTGTTTTGTTTCGTAAAAGTTAGTTTCCATTAATTGTTGTAGGGTTCTATTAGCAGGGAGAAAAATTTGAACTCTGCCAAATGTGCTGAACTAAGGAGAAGAAAGAAGTTAGAATTTTAGTTTTGGTAACTAGTAATGGTGGAAATGTCTGTAGTTGCCCCTTTTTTACCTTCATTTTCCACACTATCTACAAAGAAAGAAAACAACATTAGGTTTCCAAATACATGTTATTCTACAATGCACAGGCATACTGGTGCCATGCATCCCCTTAATACCATCCTTAAACACTTTCACTTCATGTTTCAAAGAGACAGGGCAATAACTTAGAGATGAAAGAATGGTGGATATAGTTTTATATGAGTGTCAAGCAAGACTAATGTGGTGATTCTTTCCTTCCCATATTTTGCATTCTAGACACATAGATTGTTACCTAATAAAAATGGATTAATGAGAAAGATAATTATGTCTTGTTCAGAGGTTACAGTGTTGTCTAAATTATGCATCATCTGTTCTCATTACTCTCATGTTCGTTGCAGGCCCAAAATACAACAACAGGAGTACATATCAACCTGTTACCATAGACCCATTTGCCCTTTCACCTGATCCAAATGAGCAAGAGAACCTTGACATACTTGGTGATGATGATGGCAATGCTTCACCGAATAACTTGGCCGCAGGACAAGGGGCATCTGTTCGTGGTATTGACATCAACTTACCAAATCAGGATGATATGGATGATGAAATTGCTGATGTAGATGTAAATGATGAGGCAGATGAGGGGCTCAATGCAGCTGATGCGCTGCGAGCTCAAGTGAACGCAGAGGGGCAGCAGGAGGAGCAGGACAGCTCTAGCTCTAGTGGGAGTAGCAGTAGCAGCAGCAGCAGCGGAAGTGGGAGCGGCAGTGGAAGTGGGAGCAGCAGCAGTGATAGCGATGGTAGTGATGCTGATTCGGCAAGCTCCGGAGGTGATGTTGATATATGAGCTTGATATGCAAGCTTTTGTTTTGACACATGCCTTGCGTCACAATTTTTCGTTCACAAGGGAGGTGTAGGGTATGTATATGTTCGGCTAATATTGCTCCAGTGAGTGCATCAAATTTCCACAGGTCATGGTGGGCTTGGTCCGTTTTATGTTTGCTAGACCTGGCCTGGAAGAATAGAATCTGTAAACATATCTGTACAACTATGTGCTTATGTGACATTTACTCTGTTATAAAATGGGCTTGTTTGGCTTTTACTTCTTTTAAGAAAGATGAAATTTTACTAAGAAAAATCCAATATATGTTTTTTCTTTCAATCTAGCAAATCAGCCAACATAAATAAGCTGCAGTCATACCATGTGTTTTCATAAGATTAGTCAATAAACAAGCTAAATGAACATGACGAATATTGCGGTTACCATGGATGTTACAATTGTTCGGTTGAAATGACAAAAGGTATAAAGAGGAGATACACTGCTATGCTAGCCTGTTACTCTTGGTCCGGGACATAGGGGGTGTTTGGATGAGAGCCTGGATATTAGTTGCCTGGTCTGGAGAGAGCCTGGAAGTTGCCTGTGTGCAGCGTTTGCTTGGAGCCCTGGTCTTCAGCCTGGACCAGGAAGGCAGCAGTGCAGCACGCTAAGCCCAGGCGACCGAAAATGGCTGCCTGGCTGCGGAGAGAAGTTGCCTGGTATCACGTTCACTTTAATCATCATGCTTTATATATAGTAATATATTTATACAATTAACCATAATATTAATTGAAAAAAATAGTACTTTTATCTTTAAAGTATCAAGTGGACGTTTATTTATCTTATTCCACGTGAAATTTATTACATGAACAGAATAGAAGTATACCTCTCTTTTTGTCCTCTCTAATAAAACACTACAGAGATCTGCCATTGGAAATATTAATTTCGAATTATTTTTTTAATAAATAAAAATAATCTAAGTCATTTATTCTGGAAAACACACAATAATCAAATTTTATTCGCTTGCTTTTGTAAATATAATCGTGGATTATTTATCATTTCTAATTTGCTTTCATTTGGTGTGAGAGAAAATATTGAGTCAAATTTATAATCCACGATCGTATACGATCGTATAAGCCTAGCCGAACAGGAACAATAGTGTTCATTATTTATGTACATACAATTAAAAAAAATCTCCAGATAACATTCTCAGACACAGGCTTCCAATCAGACGGATTTTCTGTAGTCTTGCCTCACCAGCAAAACTCATTAATTTCCCAGGTAACTTTCATGCAACACTTTTTATCAGAAAAGTCTCGTAGGCATCCAACAAAACAAGCCCTCCTACCTCCGTCCCTAGATACGGGCAATCGGTTACTCCTAGCTATGGATGAAAATGGTACGGATATTTATTCATGTCGCTCGACACCCTGAATTGATATATGAACACTTATCTCGATAGTTATCTGATATCCGGTTTTTTTTGGGGAAGAAGTCACTAAACACGGATATCTTAGGCGGATATCAAATGGATGTAATATCATCGATATCCGGTTCGATATCGGATAATCCGGATAATTATCGGATATATCCGGAGGTCTTTAAACGGATATTATCCTCAATGATATTTATTCAAAATTTAAAATCACAAATTTGAACCATCCAAACTATTTCAAATGGAAAGTTGACCAAAACAACAATTGTAGATCTTGATGAGTTGAACAAACTTGGTATTCAAAACTTTTCAATTTGAAGTCATTTAGAGTTCATAATACTTGAGTCAAAGTGTTTGTTTTTTTCATTTGACCAAATTTGACTTGGTCAAACTTGCTCAAATGAGACACTAAATGACCTCAGATGAAAAAACTTTAATATTGAAGTTTGATCATCTCAGCAAGATCTGCAATTGTTACATAGCTCATTTCAGTCCCATTTGAGAAAGTTTTATCAAACACTAGTCATAAATTCTTGAATCTCATATGTGCTTTCTCTCAAACTATGTCACATTTTAGTTGTGAAATTTGAACTATATTTTGTTCAACCTTTCTCAAATGAAAAATGGCATATATAAGGATTGTATATCTTGATGAGATGAACAAATTTGGTATTCAAAAACTTTTCAATTTGAGACAATCTAGGGTTCCAAAACTAGTTTATAAACGCACAAAATTTAAAAATCACAAATTTGAACCGTCCAAACTATCTCAAATGGAAAGTTGACCAAAACAAAAATTGTAGATCTTGATGATTTGAACAAACTTGGTATTCAAAACTTTTCAATTTGAAGTCATTTAGAGTTCATAATACTAGAGTCAAAGTAATTGTTTTTCAGAGGTTACATTTGACCAAATTTGACTTGGTCAAACTTGCTCAAATGAGACACTATATGACCTCAGATGAAAAAACTCTGAATACCAAGTTTGATCATCTCAGCAAGATATACAATTGTTACATAGCTCATTTTCCCATTTGAGAAAGTTTTATCAAACACTAGTCACAAATTCTTGAATCTCATATAGACTTTGAGGGGCTCAACTATGTCACATACTTGTGAAATTTGAACTACATTTTGTTCAAACTTTCTCAAATGAAAAAATAGCCTATATAAGGATTGAGATCTTGATGAGCTGAACAAACTTGGTATTCAAAACTTTTCAATTTGAGACAATCTAGGGTTCTCAAAACTAGTTTGTAAGCATCGAAATTTAAAATCACAAATTTGAACCATCCAAACTATCTCAAATGGAAAGTTGATGTTTGCTAAACCTGGCAAGAATTGTAGATCTTGATGAGTTGAACAAACTTGGTATTCAAAACTTTTCAATTTGAAGTCATTTAGAGTTCATAATACTAGAGTCAATAGTGTTGTTTTTTCATTTGACCAAATTTGACTTGGTCAAACTTGCTCAAATGAGACACTAAATGACCTCAGATGAAAAAACTCTGAATACCAAGTTTGATCATCTCAGCAAGATATACAATTGTTACATAGCTCATTTTCCCATTTGAGAAAGTTTTATCAAACACTAGTCACAAATTCTTAAATCTCATATTAGTTGCTTTCTAAAACTATGTCACACACTTGTGAAATTTGAACTACATGTTGTTCAAACTTTCTCAAAATGAAAAATGGCCTATATAAGGATTGTAGATCTTGAATCCATGACCATGACTCCATGAGACCCATGAAGCAATATGCTTGGCTATATTTCTACTCATGTCAAGTGGAGATTGGTGCTTATATGATGTTTGATATATAATGTATCCTCTATCTTTATCTTATTTGTTGCTTTTGACTATTAATTTAGTCTTTTGGCTTAATCTAGATGGATTATGGACTCATAGAGTGGTGTAATGGTTTATTCATCGTATGATATATATATATATATATATGTTGCTTTTACTCAATATCCAATAGATATTTGTATCCGATCTTCTCCTGGATCCGATTCATACCGTATTCGATACTCATTATTCAGATCCGTAATCGAAATCAATCCATTCTTCGTATATGTATCCGAACGCTATCCGTAGTCCGAATCCGAATCCTCATCAATTTCTCGTGTAAATATGAAAACAAATATAATATGAGTGATATCCGTTCGTATCCGATCCGTTTTCATCCCTACTCCTAGCTATTTGAGGACCCATTAAGCTGGAAGAGAAGTCCTCTGTGGCTCTGTTCGCTTGTCTTATAATCCGTACTTTTCAGCTTATTTTTTCAGCCGGGACAGTGTTTTTCTCTCACAACAAATCAGCCGGAACAGTGTTTCGGCTTGTTTTTTCAACGAAGCGAACGGGGCCTATAAGCTAGGACCACATTCCAATTGGTATAACTGTAGGCTCACTGTTTGATAAAGCATTTTGCCTCTTCTAGATACATAGCATTGTGCTTTTTTGACAATTATGCATGCTTTCATAAATTCTCTGCATCAACCAAATATGGACAAACAACACTGCACAAGTTTGGAAATTGGCTATGTAAGCAACAAAGTGAAGGGTTGGGGGTTAGCCTAGTGGCGCGCTACCCCCTCTTCGTGACAACCTTTTTCTAAGATTGTTTCATGGACACCATGACGAAGAGGGCCCAAAAGATCGCCGTGGAAGGAGCAAAGAGGAAGGAACAAAGCCAAAGATGACTGATTCGAAGATGCTTTGGGATGTTCCAGGCTAGATGGCTTAGGAGCTTGATGGAAGTCCAAGTTGAGAGCATTTGGTGTGCAAGTGCTACACTCTCACCAAGTCAGAGCCAAAGTGACCCAATCGGATAGGTTTTAAGTCACAAATCTCAGAGACGTTGAATTGGACGAATCGTCCTGCTCGCTTGGGCCTGTTTGGCTTATAAGCCATACTTTTCAGCCAACGAACATTATTTTTCATCTCTCACACCAAATCAGCCAACAGTACTTTTAGCCATGGCTTATCAACCAAACAAGCCCAAACGAACAGGGCGAATTGACTTAAAATGAGCTCAAAATATGGCGAATTGACTTAAAATAAGCTCAAAATATGCACAAGAGTGTGCACCAGATGATTGGTACCAGCCAGACGGGTCATCCAGTGGCCTTATGCACATTGGTAGAGATTTAACTTTGCCACGATGCCGAGTGTCACCACCCCGACGGGACGGGCGGTGGATCATTCAGTGAGGTCTAGCCTTGACTTCTGCAAAGTGGCCATTCCACTTTGTACCACCGTACGACCCAGTGGAGACCTCGTGGTGCCTCGGCGGATCGTCGGTGCGGCTCAACTTGACTTCATGACAAGTTGGCCAAGGTACGTACGGGTGTGCACCATATGATCCATGGAGAGTTCGTTACTTCCGACGGCTCATTCAGTAATCGGTAGTGTCTGCGACTTTTTCCAGAGCGAACCACTTCATGCAGCGTGTGGCGTGCATGGTCCTGCGAAAATTTGACACATGCAAAAGAATCCAAAACCATATCTATACCCATAACTTTACTGAACATAAAACTTCCATGTATGCACATATTGATACAATGCACACGCTCCAGTATTTTGAAACTGTTGATTTGTGCGGTATATATACTGACTGTAGACTTCCTATGATGCATACTGGCAACTTCCACCGGTAAAAAAAAAAAGGTTACAGGACCTTCCAAAAACAAGGCTATTCATTATTCAGCAAGATATCAGCTAATGGAAATAAGCGGATTGTAGAACATTTGCCTTTTTAGATGCTACAGAAGCATCTGCGCTTCTGCCATCCAATGAGTATGCTTTCTCCTGGTAAAAATGAGACAAAAACAAAAAGTTAATAGCTTTATAGAGTTGAAAGTATGTGGATCTCATGAGTTTCTTGTATCTAACGATGTGAAAATTACACATAAACTGATTGGTTTAGCTGAATAAAATGTCAAGGCAGCTTTGGTTTGTCAGGATCACAGTGTGTATTCACACTTTCGAACAATTCTGATCTTAGTGTAAATTCATATGTGATAATGACACTACTATATGACCATCTGATACTGAACGTCCAAACACAAAAATGAACCCAAAATATCCATTTATGGGCTGAATAATATCATAATGTTATTAAGTTGTCTGGCAACACAAACTGTAAGGAGAAACAAGGCTATAAATAGTCAAAGGATCAGTACACTTCTCAGAATGGTAGTGATGTACTGATATGGAATGGGTAAGAGCTGAGAACCAGAATAAAGGCATGGGTAGGGTATTGTTCATGTGTATGTTAAGTCTGAACATGGTCTAATTCTTGCTTAACACCATGACCACCTTTGGTTGTCAGGATCACAATGTGTATATCCTTAACAATCCTGCCTAACAAACTCCAGAGTAAAACCTAAAATAGAAAGAAAGCAGTGCAATTGTGTGAGCACTCTTACCAGCAAGCGCCACAAGAAAGGTGCACCCTCTCGTTTCCTAATTTGTTTGCCAAGAATCTCAATTGCTGTAAACCGTTGAAACTGCATTAGCTACTAACATAGGTAGACATAGAACAAAAATAAATCAATTTTGCAAGTAGCGAAGACTTCAAACCTTTGGAAGTCTCTCCAGCATTGATTAGAACAGTGTACCAAACTTCATTGAAGACATCCACTTGTTCATCTGATGCACCAATCATCTAATTGTACCATTTGTTTATCTTTAGCAAACACAAACAAATTTTATAATTACTCATCTTAAAGTAATAAAAAGCTTCCAATTCCTACTTTATAATCTAGCGCATCAAAGTCTGGACCCAGAGTGTCAAAGACTTTCATGTGATCTCCTTTCCCATATTCATAAGCAGCCTCCGCCAGCTACATGAAAGAAAGAACAATTAAAAGCAGCATTATCAATCTTCCAATTTGTGATGTAGTAATGTTACAACAGACAAACAAGTAAATAAAATTAGTAAAGAAAACTACAATAATAACAGGCTACAATATATTGCCACAAAGAGTATGCATTGTGTGCAGCGATGTTTAGCTGCCCGAATTGGACCTCCAAAAAATTTCTTCAGAAATACATCATTATATGGCTCTTCTTTTTGCTCCTTCTTTGTTCTTTTTTTTGTGGCTCTTGTTGGGTTTCATCTTGAGCCTACCCCAACTTTTTTTTTGAAGGCACAGTGGGGGAATTCCCCCACCTATTTTTTTTGTATTAATCATTGCTGAAAATAAATTACAAGTGCAACTTGCTTGGGACTTAAAAGCTTCATTGTCGTAGAGATTGCTTTGTACTGTTAATGCTTACTCTTACAAGAGTAACGCATATTGCAAGTGACGAGAGCTTCAAAAAAAGTTGCATACCTTGATTGCCTTCTGCATCGCTTGCTGCCGATTCCTGTCCATTGAACGGACCCTGCAATCAGGTTGCTTTTCTGATTTAGTAACTATTAATAAACCTTCTTGTGTTCCTACAAAACACAAGACTTAACATATCTGACCTTGACTTCAATGATTCCAACATATTATCTGCACTTTTTAGTTCACTCATACTTGCTAGTGCCCACAATATAAGCAAGTCAAGGAGCCATTCCGCATGCCATATAGACTGAAAAAAGTTCAAACTGACAGTCAAAAGAATGTCTCATCTAGCTTTAATTTGTATATGTAAAATCCCCAATAGGCAGCTTAGTTATGTATGCATCAGACGTACTCAAAGATGTTCCTGGGAGTCAGTACCTCATTCTTTAGTGCATCTAGCAATGTCGTTAACCTCTCTTTAGCTGAATCTATATGACCGCGTATGTATAATCGGAGCAGCAACCCTAGAGCATTCAAATACACCTGAATGCATGAGAAATTATTCAGTATCCCAAGCAATCTATGTCTAAAGTAAAATAACCACCGATAAATATAATACCTCAGCTGCCTCACAATCACTTTTCTCAAGTTCCTTCATGATGTTGTGATCATATATCTCCAGAACTTTACACAAAGGGGATTCAGCTTCTAAGTAACAAACAGCGACATGCCACCAGTTGTGGGTTAACCTGTGAGAGACAAAGAAATCTAAAAAACTAAGCTCATAGCTGTTGACTTGCATCGGTAGAATGCACACTGCATGGAGAACTACATACAGAAATGATGTGCATGCCTCCCATGATGGAGAACATGATTCCATGAACTCGGTAGCTTCTCTGAAGCGACATTCCTGCTGAAAAACATGGCACAGCTACAAGAAAACAAACATTTTGTTATTGGATTATGCACACAGCTAGAAGAAGAAAATGTTTTTTTTTGTTATTACATCAACTAAGTGAAAACTCTTACGGCTAATATATTTGTTCCAAACTTATCAAGAAGTTACAGAGTGCCAGCATGAGAAGATTCAGTAATCTAAACTCTCCCACCCAATATAGGAATTTTTTTTAGAAAACGCAGGAGAGCTGCGCTTCATTGCATTAGAGAGAGAAAAAGGTCCCCATACAACTCCCTTCTCTCATACGGGGACCAAATATGAGAGATAGTTAAACAGAACAAAAACTAGCCTATAAAACAGAAAAGTACATGACCAAAACTTGACCTAGCTGTTTAAATTACACCAGTTAGGCCTAGGCCTTGCAGCTTCTTAGCGCCGGCCAGATACCAAAGGTTGTGTTCGTCTTTGAGGTCTCTCATAATGGAATCGACCGAAGGAGCCATCCCCTCAAACACACAGGCATTTCTATGCTTCCATATCATCCAAGCACCCAAAATTATTAGGGAATTTACCCCCTTCTTGTATTCTTTTTTCACTTTCTTCAAAACCTTGGAATGCAATCACCCAGGTTCAGGGGTGCTAAAAGCTTGAACCAAACCTGTCTTGCCACCACACAAGATACTAGCAAGTGTTGTACTGTCTCATCCTCCTGATCACATAGGGGGCATTGCTCAGGATGAGGCAGCCCTCTCTTTTCAAGTCTATCTGCCGTCCAGCACCTATTACGAATTGCCAACCAAAGAAAAACCTTACACTTATTTGGAGCCCAAGTTTTTCAGAGTCTTCTCCAAGGCTCAAAGGTTACTGATCCCTGGAAATAAGCCCGATAAGCAGATTTAGAGGAGTAGCAGCCCCCAGGTTCCAATTTCCAAATGTGTCGATCTTCAAAATCATTTAACTGAAGGCCCTGGACACAGTCCCATAGTTGCAGAAACTCCCTGATTCCAATCCAAGACAGACTCCTACGTATTATAGAAACCCATTTATTATTGTCCAAAGCCTCAGCCATTGTTTCTCTTTTATGTACCCTTGGAGACACACTTGCAAAAACCTCAGGTGCAAGATTCTCCACTGAACAACCATGCAGCCACCTGTCTGTCCAAAAAAGCGTATTATTTCCATTTCCTAACTCTGTGCTGACAACAATAGAAAACAAGGCTAGTGAGTTAGGATGCGACGCGAGTTCAAGATCAATCCAAGGTCAATCAGTTCGGGTTTTCTTATGCCACTGCCATCTAGCTTGCAATGCCCAAGCCATGACCTCAAGATTGATAATTCCTAAACCACCAAAATCCAGTGGTCGGCTGACCTTTTCCCATGCAACTAAACAACAACCTCCATTAGCTTGTTCCTTCCCCTTCCAAAGAAAGCCTCTTCGGATTTTATCAATCGCATTTATGAACCATTTTGGAACGTTGATGGCGATCAGAAGATAAATAGGTATCGCTGAGAGAACAAACCGGACCATAGTGATACGCCCTGCCCTATTCATTAGGACAGCTTTCCATCCTGGCAACTTATCAGCCACCTTCTCAATCCAAGGCATAAGGTCAGCTTTTCTCAGTTTCTTGTTGGACAGAGGCAACCCTAGATAAGTGCAAGGAAATTCGGCAACAGTGCAAGGGAGGGTATCTCTTACTGGCTCTAGGGAAACATCATCACAACGGATGGGAATAATGCTGCTCTTGTGCAAATTGGTCCGCAGCCCCGAGGCCATACCAAAGGCATTGAGAATTTCCTTTGTGACCTCTAGTTCATCCTCAATCGGCCTTATAAAGAGAGCAACATCATCAGCATACAGAGAGAGACGCTGTCCAGAAATTCTTTGGGAGAGGGGTTGCAGGAGCCCTTCCTCTCCAGCTTTGACAAAGAGACTATTAAGCACATCCATAACCAGAATAAATAACATGGGGGATAAAGGATCGCCTTGCCGGAGTCTACGCTGATGCTGAATAACATTTCCAGGTTCCTCATTTATCAATACCCGAGTGGAAGAGGTAGATAGCAAATTTGAAATCAGATTGCACCATGATATGCTGAAGCCCAAGTGAGAGAGTACTTCCAGGAGGAACGACCAAGTTACCGAATCAAAGGCTTTAGAGATATCCAATTTCAGAAATAGACTTGGTACCTTTTGGCGATGAAGAACCTTTACAGTTTGTTGGACAAGCATGAAATTATCATGAATACTTCGCCCTCTAATAAAAGCACTCTGATTTGTAGCAACCAAAGAATTGAGATGAGGTGCCAATCTGTTAGCAAGGATCTTGGTTACTAGTTTCGCGAAGCTATGAACAAGACTGATGGGGCGAAAATCTTTGGCCAGCATTGCATCATCCTTTTTAGGGATGAGTGTGATATAAGCTGCATTAAGAAGCCCCAATCCCCTAGCATTTCCTTGCTGCAAAGTGATAATAGCAGCCATAAAATCTGATTTGATCACCGACCAGCATTCCTTGTAAAACTTGCCCATATACCCATCTGGTCCTGGAGCCCTATCAGTCGGCAAGGCCTTAATAGTTGCCCAGACCTCCTCTTCAGTGATCGGGCTATCCAACATGGACAGCTCCGAAGCAGCCCTATGAAAAGAATGCAGGTTCAAAGAGAAGGATCGATCAGCGACTTTTCCAATCAGATTTTCATAAAAATTATGCATGACCTGCTTGTCCTCTTGAGATGTGGCCACTCTATCGCCATCAATAAGTTTGGGCATAAAGTTTTTCCGCTTCCGAAAAGTCGCTTGCTTGTGGAAGAATGAAGTGTTAGCATCACCCTCTTTTAGGTATCTAACTCGGGACCGTAATCTTGCAATGGTCCTTTCAAACGAGGCTAGCCTCAAGCAGTGACACTTCAATTCTCTTCGCAACCACTCCTCGTGAGGAAAGCTGCCTCATGTCTTGAGCCATTTCAAGTCTATGTAACACCTCACGAGCAAGAGCTAGCTGTGACTTTATGTGTCCCACCTTCTTGGTACTCCAAGATTGCAAGGCCCGTGTCAACCTTTTAAGCTTGATAGAGATGCGCTCTGATGGGATAAGTCTCTGTGTTGGCTGGTCTTTGTGGGGCTGCAGCATATGGTCCTTGTGGCTGTCCTTGTGGCTGTATGGTGGTCTTGCTGCCCATCAAGGACAGCATCATTGACTGACTAAGACAACATCTTAGCATCTAGGACAACATCTGTTTTAGGACAGCATCTTAGCATCTAGCATCTTGGCATATGCTTGGCTGGCTAGCAGCCTATAAATATGTATCATCAACCCCTCAGGTTGTCATGGCATTTGTGTGAGAAATAAACCAGAAAATTGCCCCAACTCCTAGTGTCATCATCTCTCGATGAGAGTAAGAATTCTGCTACTACCAAAAGTAAGAATTCAGCGACTAACAACTGGTATCAGAGCGGTACTATCCTGTAGCCTGAGCATCTCCTGCTCATCTCCTTTCCCACCTCGCAGAATGCCCCACTGGGAGCAAGAAGAGCTTCGCCGCCGCTCGCTCCTCCTCTCTCTCTGCTCTCCTCTCTGCAGCAGCTGTCAAAACAGCCCTCTCCCCACGCAGCAGCCCCCCCAGTAGCGCGTCATGTCCGCAGATAGTCTCGGCCTTCGATCGCCTCGCGAGCACGCTGGCGTCGGCGAGGCCGAACTTGCAGCAGCGGCAGAGAGAGACACCACTGACTACTACTGCGCCGCGGCAGGGCGTCGGGTCGGCAGCGGTGCAAAGAAAGCAGGCGGAGGCGGAAGCGGGCGGCGGCGGCGGCGGCGGATGCGGATGGCGACGACGGCAATGAATGAGGTCGAGGTTCTGCGCAGCAAAGACATCAGATCGCAGCCCATTTCTGTGACGACAAGGCAGCGACCGACGCAGACCTCGAGCCGCTAGAGAGGGAGGCAAAGCGCGTGCGGCGCGCAAGGCGGCGCCATGCAGACGGCGGTGGCGCCCTGGAGGAGGCGCCGCGGCAACAACGGGGCGGATGGGTCGAATGGAAAGCGCGGCCTTCACAAGCGCGTGGGGCTCTCTCCCGGATCGGTGCCGTGGTTACCACGGGCTCCAGTGTCGTTGTCGTGGACGCCGGCCCCGACGATGGGTGGCCTACCTCACTAAGACCAACTACGCCGAGTGGGGTACGTGGTGATGAGGGTAAAGCTCAAGTGTGGCACATGTGGGAGGCAAGTCCGACGGGCGACGCCGACCATCGCGACCAAGATCGACGGTACCGGATGCCCTCATCGCCGCAGCCCCGTCCGAGATGCGCTCTCGCTTACCAACAAGCGGATCGCCAAGGAGGCTTGGGACGCCATCGCCAAGGCACGACGCCAGCGATCGTGATCGTGCCACAAGTCCACACCGCAGCACTTCGCAGGAGTGGGAGAACCGCCTTCAAGCCGTGTGAGGACGTTGATGACTTTGCTCTCCGCCTCAACACTCGCTGCGAAGATGGTGCGCGCCGGCGATGACACCTACGGCGAGGAGAGAGCTGTCGAAAATCTCTTCCGCTACGTCCCCGAGAAGTACAAGCAGATGGCTCGCTCGATCGAGTTCCTGCTGGATCTCTCCACGATGTCGATCGAGGAGGCGATAGGTCGCCTCAAGGTCGTCGATAGCAATGAGCCACAGTCTCTCTCGGGGCCCATCACCACCGGGCGGAAGCTCCTCACTCGGGCGCGATGGGTTGCTCGCGAAGGTGACCGGAAGAAGGGGAGCCTTCTTCCGCGACCGGCGACCGCAAGCCGCCGCAGCGGCGCCGCAGAGACGCCAGCCGAGGCGCGAGGACGTGCCGAGGGTGATGCCCGCAGAGGCGCCAAGGGCGGTGCCGCCGGCAAGCACAAGCCGCACGAGACGACACTGCCGCAATCGCGCCGCCTTTTGGCCATTGGGCCAAGGATCGTCGACACCACGACGCGCCAGCCCACGCCGCGATAAAGTGCGAGAGCCGCTCGTTCATGGCACATGCAAGCATCGAGCTACCTTCGGATGCA